TGTCGGATCCTCCAAAATTACACTATTTTTGGAGGATCCGACACGCACCCGGCAGCATTTTCGGAGAGTCCGAGCAACATAGCTTTTCTGTAGGTTACATATTCACTTATACGGATTTCTTGATTGCCTCTGCGTCAGGCAAATTTGGTTAATATTCTTAATGTGTGTATCCGCGATAATCTCATTTCTTTCGTCGGAGAGGGGTCCACCTTTTATTTCTACATCTAGGATTCGACTTGTACAATGGATACTAATAGGAACTCAGCCATTGTGGGGCAAGGAGAAGTTTGATTCAGAGGGAGGAGAAGAGGCAAATAGTGAAACAGAATCTCAGGAATAACACCAGAATAAATGTCATTTGGGACAAGCTACAGAAAGAAAATTAGAAGACTTACAATAAAACTATAAAGATCCAGAAATTATTCTCTACCTTTTATATACAAATTAATAATTAGAGATATCTGCTTCTTTTTTCTTACAGAAAAGATCTACCTCCACGTGCAAAATGGTTATATTGCTGAGATAAATAATAATAGGAAAAACTTGTCGGAAAGCAAGTAGAAAATCTCCAAGTATATAGCTTTTAATTGGAACCACAATCACATAGTCCAAGTGATATTTGATTATGGCTTGTCAACAAAGAGAACGCAAAGCTGTAAACAGTAGGTAAAGTCCAAGCAGGTCAAACACCAAAGCCAAGAAAAAAAGAAGAAAAAAGAATAACAAATAGCAAAGACAGGATAACATGAACTCAAGGACAGAGCACATAATTCTAGACATTTTAAACAGAAAATTATAAAATATTGCCATGATTACATACTTTATGCAAGCATAGCCCAATTGACGAAAGCGCTGGAACAAATGTGAAGTTGGGGGGCATCTTGGATAATCTCTTGAACGCAGAAACTCGTCCTTTAAGACAGACAATGCAGTAGAAAACCGGAGCGCTTTGATTGCATAGATCCCTCTCAATACCTACTCAGATCAGCAAATATAAATACAAACACAATGCCAAGTTATCACAACATATGGTTCTGCAAACGATTGGTTGCAGGGGGAAGGTAAAGTACTATGAGTTATCTCAAGTTAGTACATTTGGAGAATGTAAAAGTGATTCACTGCAACCTCCCCTTCCACTTTTGGAGGGCTTCAAATGCTAGCATGGTGGGGTATCTAACCCTCCACACTAACTTCCACTCCTCTTTTACTTCCTAACCAGACAAGTGAAGCAACTCTTATCTGTAAATAACTTCTATCCACTTTTACTTCTCTCCTCCAGTCGCTCCTCTTTTCACCCCAAACAAACAAAACATAAAATACAAACAAATTACCTAATAATTTTACCTGAGTGAACTGTGGGCCTGACTGGGACAATGACACGGCAAGATCACCACAAACTGGCGGACCTCTAGCAAGTATGTCAAGAGATCTTGGAGTTATTCGTAGACTGTCAAACCTTCACATAACAAAAGCCCGAAAACTGTCAAATATCACCACTTTCTCATAATATTACTAACAAGCTTTTATGCAAACATTTCATAGTCAATGTACAACTAAGAAGCGTAAGGAAACTGCAATCATGTCGAACCTTTCCTCTCCCATTTGTATTCAACTACTACGAAATCTGAAATATACACCAAGATATCCTAAATATATTCATCATCTATAAAAACTCTTTATATTAATTGCAATATCCAAGTTTCAAGCCCAAGCGGCATGGACATAAAGGATTAATACAGCCGACACTGACTAGATTGAGATTGGGCATAGTTGATCGGTTGCTTGATGGATTCCAAGTTCCAAAAAGATTTAGGACAGTTTTTTAGCAAAGACACACAGAATCATGTTAAAACTGGTTCTTCAGAATTGTACATGCAAAAGATCTTCCCTAATCTTATTTATCAGACCTTTCACATTACACAATCGACTGAAAAGTTTCTAAATACACTTATCTAGCCTAAATTCAATTATTGCATCTTTTGGCAGTTGATTAAAAAGGCCATAAAATTTAGACGTCCAAAGGACATCAATGATTATTTTTTTTTAAAAAAAGGTGTGGCTATGATTAACTATGTAAGTATGTACTAAGCTTTTGAGCGAAGGGAATTGCATCAGACTAGAAGGTTATATCATCCCAAAAACTGCAAATATAAATATAGAGTAATAGAGAACATAATTCTTTTCTATGGAAAAAAAAGATGAAAAAGAAATCATCAAATGGAGAACGAAAAAGGTTGCAAATTGAGTAGAAAATGATGAAGAAACAAGAGTAAATCATCAAAAACTCGTCATAGTCCAGAAATTATTTGCTGTATATTATAATATAGAGGCATCTCATTCCTGATACAAGGACAGAAAGCAGAAAGAAAAAAACAAAATATTAGGTACTAAGTACTTCATAGCAAACTAAATTTTACCTCAGTTTCTCCTCTGTAAAAAGTACATTTCATAATGTAGCCAAAAGAAAAAGAATTTTTTTTACTGTAAATCCATAAGACAGCCAAAAATTGTTTAATAAGAAAACAACCAAAAGTTGCCTGAGAGAACTGGCATTTTTTAGAGCTTTGCAGACTGAAAAGATACCAGTTAACAACTAATTAGGACTTCTAACAAATAGATTTAAAGCATTCAACTCGGGATAAGTGGTTATTCTTTAAAGCTACATATCTTCTCTATTTACAATAGATGATAATTACAACAAATACGTGATGGTCTCTTCGATATTCCAATTACAAAAGCGATCCAATAAAATCTTAGTAGTAGGTCTTTGTTCACACCGTGCTCATTAAGGCAAAAAATATGAGCAAAAACTAACACAGAGGGTAAAAATTGACACAAAAAGGAATTTGAAATGTCACAAATTACTTCATAGTTGTCTTTACACACTTACCTAATACGACTAACTTAAGTTATCAAATGTTTTAGAATCAACTTTGTTAGCAAAATCAAGGTAATTCATTCAACAAAGGATTCCAAAAACAAAAATTAGAACTACTTGAGTCAATAAACTAAATTTCGTGGTTGGCGATAAATTATGCATGCAAGCACCAAGAAAGATTTAAATAGTGCAATCAGATCAAACATTTAAGTAGCATGAAAGAAATTAAAGATGCCAAACTAAAAGTCTAAAAGCATCAACATTTTGTAGAAGGAAAACCTTGAGGTTATCTGATATAGGATCTCTGAGAGGTCAAGCTTCTGTTCAAAATATTGTTGCATTGTGGCAAACCCAACAAGGAGAGGTTCAAGAAGTCCAACAAGACAGTTTTTGATTTCAACCCCTTTCTTTTGTCTAGGATTTATATCTGTAGGGTTGGCAAGCAGCAGCCGATCATTCAAAGCTCCAAGCAATACTGCAAAAGGAAGTCATGTAGGCAAAGTAGTTAAGCATCCAAGATTGCATGGAAAAAAAATGTAACAAACGAGAACAAATAGAACTGGATAGCCCCAAGCATGGAAGCATGTACATGCAGTTTGGAGGAAGACTTAAATATCCACCTGCATTAGGCATACTAATCGAAAGTATAGTCCTCACTTTGCCATCCCACCCAAGCATACTAACAGCAGTGGCAGTTGAAAAAAGAAGTGCAGGCCCAAGCCACAGAATAGATCTATAGTATCCAAAAAGTTAAGAATCCCAGCATATATAGAATAGCCTACATAAAGATAAATAAACTGAGGAGGCAATAAAAATAACAGGAACGATAAAAGGAATGCATTCAAGGATATTGAAGGAAGTCCTTTGTCAAACTTTGTAGAACTGCATGCCAGGATATCCAGATCTGCTGAAACAATAAGCACCCTATGTGTGGTCAATACACCAGCAACGTAGCCCCTGAGAGTTTCTTGCCAGTGCACCTGAAAAATATCATACTTGTGAAGGAAGCAGTTCTTGGGAAAAAAACCATAACAAACAGGAATGGAACTCAATATGCGAAGCTACTAATATTTGTATTGGAACTTTCTTAAACAAGACTTGATAGAGAGAAACATATCCTAAACAATTTACCTGGAGAACAATCTCATTTACTTTCAATTTGATAAATTTTCTTCCTTCAGCTTTTGTTGATATGTAATGGCCATCAGCATTTGAGAGGCGGTAATTTTGAACCAGTTTTGCCAAGCCAATCTGGTCACCATGGGTAGCAAATACCAAAGTTGATTCTAAAAAACCAAAATGATTGGATCAATCAGGATTGCCGCAGCAGTTTACATAATATATTTCATGGAACCCCCTTCAAACATACCTATTGGAGTTGAGAAGACGCGATGAACTTCAGTTTCGAACATAAACTGCATTGGACCCTTAGTAGTACCAACATCAGTGTCAGTAGACTGGTTTTGATCAATGGCGCCATTCTTTTCTTTTGCAACTTGTAGAGCAGCTCCAGGCAAAATATACAAGGACAGCCCAGTCTTATCCTCATCTAGAATTGCATAGTGATTCTCATTAGGGCCAACAAAGGCAGCATCTAGACCTGGAGCAAAGGGGAGTAAACTCATCATGACAGAACCTGTTTATATTTTAAGAAGCCAAAACTAGAAGTTCTGATAGATGGTGAAAACCTTTAGTTGTAGTTGCTTTACTATTAGCAAGTTGGTAATCTGTATTTTCCCAATAAAGAACCACTTCATTTGTGGCACCGCNTATTTTGATACTTAATGAGTCATGACAGAACTACTAGAAGTTCTGATAGATGGTGAAAACCTTTAATTGTAGTTGCTTTACTGTTAGCAAGTTGGTAATCTGTATTTTCCCAATAAAGAACCACTTCATTTGTGGCGCCGCTGAACTCAAAAACGACGAGGAAGAGGTGCTGCTTTTTACTATAAATAATGTACTTCGGATGAAATTCTACATTTCCAGGAATCTGAAAGAACACAAAAATTGTCAGTTTCAAAAGTGCAAAAGATTGCAAATGTGTACTGCTCTAACATACTAATTGAAAATAACAATTAAGTATACCGATGCGTAAAGCTTCTTGTAAATATTTTCTACTCCAGAAGATATATTGTATGCCATAAGGTTTGAGCCTTCAACATAGAAAGCCCTGACGGGATAGTGAAGAACTCGGTTCTCTTTATTGAAAAAATTTAGATCCAGATGAAATGGCTGCATAAGATAGCTATTAGAGGCTATATCAAGCAAAACTGTGTGAAGAGAGTAGAAACTTAAATAGTTGATAATGATTACCTGACAAACTGGGACATCTTTCAAATAATGTTTAGTATCCAGGATTGTGATGAGAGGTAACCGAGAAATTGGAGCACTTTTTGCATGACCTTCCATAAAATGCTGCCAAAATAAGGTCAAGGTGACTTTTCTTATATATATTGACTTCCTTAAAAGGCAAGTTACTGTTGATCTAACATTATAACTAAAAAAAGGCAGCCCGGTGCATTAAGCTCCCGCTATGCGCAGGGTCCGGGGAAGTGCCGGATCACAAGGGTCTATTGTACGCAGCCTTACCCTGCATTTCTGCAAGAGGCTGTTTCCACGGCTCGAACCCGTGAGCTCCTGGTCACATTATAACTAATAACTAATAATCCCTCTATTTCAAATTCAATGTCTAGTTTTTTTTTCCTTATTGTCTTGCTCTTGCATAATGGTTTAAACTTAAGGTCTTTTCAAGAAGCTTAAATTGTTCTTCAATATTTTATGCAAACCATTTTCATCTAGTTATTATGCAATTTTCAAATATATTCTGCCCCCAGAGATTTGGTTCAACCATAAAGGTGTGCAATATATCCTGACGAGTTGCAATTGGTTCTTTGAATTCAACTTTGATGGGTTGAATTAACGTCGACATTATTGCATGTTGTATGCTGAAACTAGTTATTTTAATTGCAATTTGGAAATGTAAGTACTGATTGAATATTTGGTAACTTTTTAAATTCTGTAAAATATGCATTTCACTTCTTGCTTTTTGCTTCAAGCCTACATATCCCTAACCTTCTATCAGCTAACAATGCAACTCCTCCACATACCTTGTGAAGAAATTTTGCTGGTTTATTTTTCTATCATAAAGAAGGTAGGTATAACGTTTATTATAATCGTGGTATCCGGGCCAGCTTACGCGCACCTCGACTAATTCCACGGGGTACTTATAACTCTGTCCACTAGGATTGGAATAAATCATCTAGTATTTTTACCTCCGCTGGGATTTGAACCGAAGACCTCATGGTTCTCAACCCACTTCATTGACCATTAGGATACAACATTAGGTGCAGTTAGGTAGGTATAATATTTAAACTAGCAATTAGTTTCTCAATCAATTTTTGATAACTATGGTGTGTGGATCAACTTGCACGCATCTCAAATATTCCACTAGGTCCCTGCTACCTCGCACCAGTTTATAGGGTAACTCTGTCCACTAACGTTTAGGCAGATGAAAAGAAATCATCTAAAGTTTTTGTAGCTTCCACAAATTTTAGGAATTTGATCTATATAAGATAGGCCGTACTTCAACTGAAAAAATTGTAAAACAAAGAGAAGGGCTTACGCTATAAAGAAAAGCCTTTCGTGCAATATCCGAAATTGTGAGCTGACTTTGCCTGACACAAGAAATTTTTAAAAAAAACATTATTACTAGAAACCTTGTGGCAACTCAAATGGTCAAGTAGTAAAATCTGAGAATTAAGTTACAAGTAGATTATATGAAAAAATAGTGAACCAACAAAAATTCTCAAAGAAAACACAACCTTCGTGTTTTTTTAATAAACAAAATAAAAAATACGAGAATCCAACCTCGTATTACAATTGTTATTTACCAAATAGATCAAATATTGTATTCGAAGTACTAGAGTTGGCAAAATGGATAAACATGACAAAAGGATAGGCTAAACCCTACAAATCATGAACGAGAAGTAGGTTAACAATAAATTGTTGATAAACTGATTTACCATGTATAAGCAATAAATGTACATTTATTAAAAATTTATGATATAGAAGAAGAATATAGAGATGAGGATCAGGCGATCCTAGACTAGAAGAAAACAAATTAAACAGACCAAGCTCTTTTAACTTCACCAAAGATTAGTCAAGCAATATGATGGAAGAGGCCTATAGCCTTACACCACCAGGAAGACAAGAAAACCACTCTACTAATATATGGTGTCATCTCTTCTATAGTGTAGTTATTTTTTGGGAAGTCAAGCTATAGTTTCTAATTTATCCCTAGTACTGTGACACTTCTGCATATCTTCCATGGTGCTTAGCTTAGTTTTTTTGGCAAGAACTGCAATTTAACCCTTTCGGCACTACTTAAACATAATGAAAGGTACATTTTCTTTATCGCAATATTGAAATCTTTTGAGTAAAAAAAAACATTAGCGACGACAAGCATGATTGGTTCTAACTGAATGAAAGAAAGAGAAATCCTGTAAGCAGGAACAATGATTTGAACTTCATACAGCTCTGCAATATTCTTTGGTTGGTTTAGGCTATGGGACACACTTGGGTTATATCCTCCCTTGACGCTTTTGAAAACCAGATTACTAAACCAAAACCACCCTCCTTCTTAGGAAGAAAAACCATATTTTTTATAACCATCACGTCGGTGCTAGCTTGAGCACACCTCGACTAGTTCCACGGAGTAGAAAGAAAAACCATGTCCCAATTACAAAGACAAATACCTCTTCCCACCCATCCAAAGAAAATCATGATGAGCAATGCAATCCAACTCACAACCACCTTAGGGATTTTGAAATATAAATATGAAATGAACTGCCCGAAAAAGCACTTCAAGTGTAAAAATTGGGGTGTCTAAAACTTCACATGGCCTCAAAGACTTTTATAAAGCAGATGAATAATCAGCCTAAATTTTCGTACATGAGGGAATGGGATATCTTAGGAACAGAGATGATGAAAGTGTAGTTAATGCTCTGAGGTAACTTTGTTAGCATAGAATTATTTAAACTTCACGAGATCCCCGTTAACTACATCCCTACAAGTACGGACAGAAGACATGGTAAACCCATCAAGACCACAAGCTTTATCCTTTGATTGTGGTATGTATTTGTCGATCAACTCAAGGTGCACCTTTATTTTGTTTTTTTGGTAGTTATCTATACCCCAATTAGCTAATCACAAATTGATCATAGTTGAAATTTGACAGACTTTAAAAAAAAAGGAAGTTTTTCTTTCTTCCAATCCAAGTAGTTTTTATACGCCAATCACATTGATCATAGTTGAAAAATCATCAAAGAGATAAAACAAAATAAAGAAGTGCAAGACAAGAAAGTTCTTTCTACCAATCCAAATAAGAAAAGCAGGAAAACACTAAAATAAGAGTTAGACAAATACTAAGAACTAGCATTAGACTTCTTCCCCATTTTCAACCTTTATCTGTCCATTTGTATGTGCTGCTACTCAGCATTTTCATAACTTCCCTACAAACCCAAGGAAACTCTTTAATAATAAAAGTAGAAAGGAGAGGATATGTAACTTTCCCGACTTGCAGAAGTAAAATCATATGTGACACATACGCGCGCATGCATGCATGCGTGTATCAGTGTATGTGTATATGTGTGTGTGTGGTATATGGATGTAGTTAATGCATATAAAACAAGGAATATTAACCAAGATAGTGCAAAAAGTATACCAATAAAAGAACAGAACAAAAAGCCTAGCCTATAGACATTTAAGGTTAAAGAACAGAGAATAGAAAAGCTCATCAGCTCCTCTTTCGCTAATATGTGTGTGTGTGATTTTTTTCTAAAGCTGAAAATTTATCCCGTATATCAGAGAAGATTCTCCCTCAACACATCAGTTATTTCGTTCAATCAAAAGACACACAAATACTGAGGCTCAGGAATGAAAAAAGGGGTGCAATCGAAGTTCTATAGCGTAAATATTAGCAGTGTCCAACCGATCAAAAAGAAAACATTAGCACTGCCCATATGATGCAACTCTCACTTTTATCTGATGATCCATCAAGAAATTATCTAGGGGAATAATTCTCAATATGGAGAGTGCAAAAGGGGGCAGCAGAGATGTGGAAAGGATGGACAACAACAGGCAACCAACCGAAGGCCTAGACCAGATGCACGGAGACAGGAATGTTGTTTAAATTCATTAGAATCATTTCCACCGCTTGAAATGACTAGTCAACTACAGGCTAATGACAGGAATATATAAAAGATGAAGAATGACATTAGAGAGGATGATTTGCATTGCAAGCAAAGTGTAAGTTTCATCACAATCTAACTGAATATTCAATTTATACTTGGATATGAGCATTGAAATGTTTTCCAATGAGGTCATAGCTAGCATTGTCATTAGACAAGCAAGCAAAAAAGTACTAACCAAACCATCCAACTTTTCCATGTCCCAATGAATTCCAATCAAATGTTCTTAAGAACAGTAATTACATTATTTTTGTTCACAGAAAATTCAAATACCTCGCCCAAACAGAGAAAATTATATGCAACGAAAAATCAAGTAAAGCTTAAAATTCAAAACTTGGGTTTCCTGAATGTTACTCGCTCTAATCAAAAGTGAACAATGATAAGGCCCAACTCACCCTTTCAAATAATGTTCTTGTAGCTGAGCTTTAAGTTGGTGATCAGCTAATATTCCGGATGAACCAAGGGCTGAAAGCTTTTCCTTCAAGACAGATGCTGCACGGGATCATAAAATTAGAACAGCAAGGTGAAGATATAGAATACTTGATACCATAGTTATATTAAAGTGATCACAAGACCACCGATAACCATATTAAAGAACATTTATCCCAAAAAAATATTTTTTGATTACAGATTACATTTTTTTCTTTTTGATAAAGTAATATTGATGCTCTCGGCTCCCCTTGTATATGTATGCTATACAACAATACAATGCTTATAAAAAAAGATAGTCCTTTACAACAAAAAAAACAATCATTTACACTAATAAGGACCTTGTGGTGCACTAAAAGTTAACCAAACTAAAAAAAAAAAACATACTGATTGCATACTCTAAGGGAACAGACAATAACAGCAATTAGCAAATACATATAACGCCTCTCCCATTATCCCAAATGGAGATCAGAGAGGGGATAAAAGTAAAATGAATAAGAGAACACATGGTGCACGTAAGAGCCTTCAACACACTCTTTTAACCTCCATCAACAACCCAAGATATGTTAAACACTTGGGATCACAACCAATTACATGTGTCGAATCGGAAGATAGTTGCAAATGCCACTACATTCCAAGAACATGCACACAGTAACCACAATAGTACAGCCACATAAAAAGTTAGGTATGCTGAACACTTGGGATCAGAACTAGAGCAATTAAATGTATCAAAAGATTGTAGCAAATTCCATTACTAATTTTCTCAGCAAGACCATCCAAATAGTAACAGTGTAGTCACATAAACAGCCACACCATTTTGGAAACTGCAATTTTTCATGATTCGATAACTCTGGTATATCATACTACAAATTGAAACCCAGGTCACAGAGAAATCAAATGAAGTGCCGAACAACATTTGTAGAAAAGAAGACCTAACTTGATAAACACGTCTGACAAATTATACTACCACAAGAATCCAATGAAACCTTCAATGATGATATAAAGGCTCTCAGTTAAATAGGAAGGACTAACAGAACTTGAGACGTGCAAGAAAAAATTTAGCACCAATATAAGATATGGTATTGAAATCTACTTACCCTTTACTCAAAAATGATATGGTATTGAAATCTAATAAATGTAAGAATTAAAGCACACCACATGATTCTTAATTAAGAAATACCTGAAGATCCCCTTGCACCTTGCAGAACTGCAAATAATTGTTTCCTTCCATCCCTAGTAAAAGCAGCTCTATTTTTTCTATTGTCAGCACCAGTCAAACTCTGTAGGAAAACACATAAATGTCTGAGTGCCAACACAAGTCACAGGCATGTGACATAAATCGAAATGCTCACCATAAAAAGCAACGCAGCTAGGTTTAATTTCGGGTGAACTTCTAATGCCCTGATTCGAGGGAGTGGATAAACTGTTTCTCCTCCTTGCTGAGATAGAATTCTAGGGATGTCAATGGATTCAATTGCTGCACCATAGCAGATAACTTATCAACATATAGCATCAACAGAAATGAGATCAACAGATCACAAAGAAACAAGTAGAAACGGCCTTATGTACTCCTTCATTCTCATTTTGTGTGATACAATTCTACTGACATGGAGATTACAGTTCTAATTTGAAATTCGTATGTTGTTGGTAGCAGTAGAAAGAAAAGTATATAGTAGTTATTGCACCATAATGTACTAAATTTGACTTTTCAAATGAATTTTAAATCTTCAAAGTAGTTGAAGTTATGTAAGATATTTGTTATTTCTAAATGGATCAATACTTTTGGAGGTTCTCAAACTAGAAAATATATCAAATAAAAATGAGAAGAAAAGAGTACTATTTGAGAACAGGTTCCATGATGTGTTGTGTCAGTTCTAAATTTTGATCGGTAAGAAATTGGACCATTTCACGATTCGTGCGTATCATCCTAGCGTAGGGGACTTAGGGGCATGCTAATCTTCTCTCTTATCGCTCCACTTTTTTTGGATGACCCTGAAGAGACTGTGTCAGTTCTAAATTTAATCAGCAATAAGAATAGCGTTGTTTACCTGCAGGAAACACCTTAAAAGAGCCTAAACTTTAATATATGAGCCTACTCATCTTCTCTTCTTCTTTTTTTTGTG